TGACCTCTACCTTGGGATTACCATATAGATTCTCTTCACTCTCTCAATCATCTTTCTTCATTCCATTCATTTATCATTTATTCATATTTCCAGCTATAATTGCATGCTTCTGAGGAGTGTGATACTCATTCAAGACATCTCTTAATATTTTCCAAATTTATTCTCAGCAATCCCCAGCAGTATACACTGGGCATCATACACAATAACAATAATCACTCTCTGCATCACTTTGAAGTGCACCCATATCATTCTTTCATTCACTTGCTTATACTCCTTTAGATATTCATTCACTAAAACACCTACTCCTGCATTGCTTACTGTCTTTTGACACCAGACTAAATCAATACATTCCCATTCACATTCATACATTCCTTGCCTTTCACTCTCATCTCACTCATTAAAGAAAATCTAACTTATAGTTATTTCTTTCATTAATTCATTATCTTGCTTCTTTTACATTCCACACATCCAATTAACATTCACACTTCTGCTCTTTTTTTCTCATTAATCTATTCCAGTCCAGGAGCCCCACCATTCCCAGACTCTGCCTTTCTTTTCTTTTGTCTTCTTTTAACAACAATCATTTTTACATAGTGTTACCCCATACACAACCTCCATCCTGGAGGAGCAGTGATCCTGCCTTAGTCTAGCCCCTAACCTCTGATCTGTTTAGCATGGTATCCCTGTCGGTAGCAAAGCTGCTGCTGACACAACTCACGGTGCCTAAAAAGCACACAAGCCTGTTCATTAAATCAAGGTGGGGATCTGAGAGCACAATATAAAATTGAAGTATACCAAATCATTATTTCCAACAAGAATAGTTGTCAAATTTTAAAGCTATTACCTCAACAGTATCACAATGTAGTTTTATTTTACATTTACATTACAGTGATTACAAATACATAAACTTTTTTTTATGTTAACAACAAATTGTTTAAATTTTAACATATGTAAACTTACTATAATAAAATATGCTGTTTTTAAAAAAGTACATTGCATACTCTTGTATATTTTCAACATTCAAAAAACATCAGTTTCCTATGCCTTTACATTCTATCTGATGGACTCATTCTCACTAAGATCAGACTGAAAATTAACATTCTGCACTCTTAAATACAGTTTTTCATTTTTTTTTAATATTCTATCCCCTGAAGCATGACTAACATTTTTAAAATTCTTTCTAAACTTTTTTCTTATATAAAAAGACTTAAAATTTCAAGACAAAATACATTTAAAAGAAATTTCTTAATATTAAAATTTATGAAAAGTTTTGTTTTATTTAATTATATATTTAGTACCATATTCATAATACTAAATATGTAATACAGTACTATATATTTTATTTAGTACTATATTGCATTAATAGTATATTAATGTCTCAAATTCATTTCCTTGTTTTTTTTTTTATATATATATATATAGAAAATCTTCAAAAAATTTCATTGAGAATTAAAAGAAAATGTATTTAAATGTCTTGGTGAATATTAGTTGTGTTGTGTGTACAAGTAAATGACTGAAGTACTGTTTCAATTTTACTGCAGCATTATGTTCTTTGAATCTTATATACTATAATTGTTTACCAATCCTATTCACATAAGTAAACGTATTAACTTCATCTCATACAAATTATTAAATTACATCTGTTTATGTATATTGTGAATTGGTTTATTAAGTGCAAAAAATAAAGCTATGAAAACTCTGACAATGATGTATTTCTACAGAATCTATTTATTTGATGCTTCTTTAGAATATTATTATTTTTATTATAAGATGTTGGCATCATCTTTCAGTGCCAAATTTATTGATAATATAGTTTATTGTATAAATATTTATAGTATATAACTTATAATTTAACAAATTTAGTAATCATTAAATGACCGTTTAATTAAATAATGTGCATTAATAAGAATAGATCAACTATTTTAACTATACTAACTTAAATATCTTGTGATTAATTTTTATTTTTTTATATACTTAGTTTTTTCTCAAATACAGTTGAGGTTAACATACTCAGTGCCAAGGATGCTCATGTGCATCTTCAAAGTTTGTTTATATTATCGTGTGGGGAAATTTTATCTTTTGTTTATAACAAAGAAGTTTACTTTTATCATTTATTGTATATTTCAAAGAATATATGTCATCTGTTGACTTTGAATTAGTACTCTGTATATTAATTATTTATTGTGTCTGGGCATTTTCAGAAAAAAAAAGGGGGAGTAAAAATTTATTTGACGCTAATAAACATTTTATAATTAAACAAAAAAAAAACTTTTTTTTTAATTTAGCATATTGGTAGGGAATTTTCTTTTATATTTATATTTTATAAAACTCTACATTTTATAAATTTTTAGTGAATATTTTTTATTTTATTTTACAGAATGTAGGAAGAAAGATGACATGTGTGGAGTTCATCGAAAATCTAAATGAATTGAATGATGGAGAGAATTTTCCAAAAGAAGTACTTAAATCCCTCTATCATTCTATCAAATCTTCTTCAATAGAATGGGCAACGTATGTAACTTTGTAAATTTGTTACAGATAGTTAATTCCATTAATAAATTTTAGTAGAGACAATTTAGTCTACATTTTGTGGAATTTAAAAAAACATATATTCAAGATTCCCTTTTTGTCAATTTGAATAACACTTGCTAAAAATCTGTTTCCGATCTGATATGACAATGATTCAGGTTAATAATCTGATTCATTTCATTTTCAGATTGAAAGGAAAGATAAATTTAATAAAAATGAATTTAAAATATCCAGATCTGTTATTAAATTTATATGCAAATTATTCAAAATTCCAATATTATCCTCTTACAATTGAATAATTTTCATATAAATGAATGGCTGTTAACCTTTAAAAAATTCTTATTCCAAGTTAAGATCTTAAAATTTGATATATATATTTTTTTGTCAGATTTATGATTATTTGACATTAATTAGTGCTAAGTTTGATTTTAAGATATTATTCTATTAATATTATTATTTATAATTATTATATGCATTATAAACATAATAATTTAAATATTTTATCATTTTATAAATAATTTTTAATATTTTTGGAGATAAATACAATTAAATGACTGTTGTTCTTTTTGACACTTCCTCTTACTTATTATCTTATTTATATTAATACTTAAATTGTTACATCAAAAACAACTTTTTATGCAAGTTTAAATATATAGTTGTATTATTATTTAAATTGGTATTGTGCACACTTACATATAACTTTTGCTTCTGAAACCAAAAAAAAATTGTTAAATGTTTGTTTAAAAAACATTATCAGTATGTTTTTCTTAATTATTTCTATTATAAGATTTGATAGACCAAACTGCTTGCTTTGGGTAATCAAAACGTAATACATGAATGACTCTGTGAATAAAATGAAATAAAAAATAATGCTTTAGTGGAGAAAAAATTATAAGAACATTATGAAAAAACTAGAAACAGAGTTCAAGCGTTTTCTTGTTACCAGGAAATATCTGAACGCTTGATTAGAATGTCATTATCATGGAGGTGTGCAAACAGACATAAACCAAGAGTGGTTGCTATGGTTGTAGATTGTAGAAGTTTGGGGACAAGAGCATAAAGCACCTTGACTTAGTTGCTATGGTTACAAAAGAAAAATCATAAAACATACAAATTATGAATTATAATCAAAACATTTTTTGGAAATAGCTTATTAAAGTATTTTGCTTTAACAAAAATTACCCTACTTAGTAGATTGTTTTATCCTGTAATAATTTTATAATTCTTAAGTTTTTTTATGAAATTCATAATAAATGTTATGTGATTTTTTTTTTCTTTGTAACCATAACAACCACTTTTGGTTTGTCTGTTTGCTACCCTCCTTGACAACAATGTTCTATTTGAACTTTTATAGGTATTTCTGATGATGATTTATGATAAATCAAAATCCTTTGAACTCTTGTTTTTTCTTTTTAATAATGTTTTTAAGTAATTTTGCTGTCATTAAAGCATTATTTTTCATTTCATTTCTGCAAAGAGTTTTTACAGAGACATTTTTTACCTATAATCTGATTGCTTTTGGCTTATATGTTAATTGAATGCTGTAGAATAAAGTTAAGAATACAGGAAATTATTCTATGTTCTTAACTTTATATTCTAGTAAAATATTATGATGACACAAAATGAAAATCTACAGAAAAAACAAAGATTTTGTTACTTACTTTTTATAGTTATGTATAAATAGCCAATAAAATAATTGATTGAAAAGTATAAATATAAGAAAATTTAAATAAAATTGTTTGAATACTTATTTCTGAAATATTTGTATTAGCAGTGAAGATGATGATGACATTCCACCTCTTCCGGATAATCAAGCAGCTAGTCCAGATAATAAAGGATTTATAGGACACAATCCATTTCTTGAGGTAAATTTTAACTATAAAAATTTTTAATCTAAGGCTTTGAAAAAGTAGCATGAAATCTGTGTTATATTTTAATGTATTATGAAGAATATACATGTAATAAAAATGTTTTCTGTAATCTATTTTATGATTATTTCATCTGAATTTTAGTATATTTTTAATTAAATCACTTCAAAAAATATCAAAATAACTTATAAGAAAAAAAAATGAATGTGCACAATTATTGGGTGAATTATTTTTGTTGATTTAATATGATTCTGTGAAATATATAGAAAAGTTTAGAAAGATCAAATAAGATGAACTTTGTTTTTATTTCTATGGCTACTTCATTTGTTGAACTGGATACAACAACAACTTTCTTTTGTAGACTTTGAACTTTGTGGTAAGAGTAAATTTATGGTCATTAAAGCATGAGATGTATACAATTATTAAAATATTGTTGGAATAAATAAGGTTACCATCAATAATTATACATTAAATGCAGAAAAAGTAAAGACTCTAGTTTATAATCTATAAAACAAGGTTGATTTGGCATTGCCAAGTCAGTTTTATTTTATAGGTTATAAACTGAATAAACAATAGACTAAGTGAAATTATTATAGAAATAAAAATAAAAAGTTTGTCCTTTTCCGTATTTAATGTATGGACTAGGAATTGTAAATTTACCGACTTTTTCAGTAAATGAAAATTAAAATACCGGTTTACCGGTAAATTTTTTCCCTGAAAAATAAAATTAAGGTGATAAAAAATATAAGTAATTTTGATTTCCATTTCACATTTTCTATTTCAAAGGTATAGAATATAAAAAATATAAAAATTAAAGTGTTATTCTAAACAAACTATAATAATAACTTTTAGAAACATAAATAAAATAATACAGAAAAATAAAAATAAAACAGAAATAATATATAGTACCTAATACCATTTTACTGATTACCATTTTTTAAAAAATAACTTCTCAAGAAACTTAAATTATTTAAAGTCTTATCTCCTAATTTTGATCTAATTTTTGTACAAAATAATCCGGGTTAGGTTAAGTTTCTAGACTTTTTCGGACATCATCTTTAAGTAATAAAAATCTTTCCAGCATGTTTAGTAAGCTATTCCACCGGGTTCTACAATCTAAAATTAAAGAAAGTTCTTTTCGTGAGAGTAATGGGGATTCCCCACGAAAATAAGGTTAGAATAATACATATTTTGCACAATCTTAAGGCATAATGTTAGAATCTTGTAATAAATATTTGTATTTAATTATTTTAAACAGTTGTTAGAAGTAAAAAATTTATTTAAGGTACAAATTTTAATGTTATTTTGCAATAATATTGCATTAATGTCCTGTCATAATGTGGTGTATTCAAAATTGCTATTAATTTAAAAAATACGTGAAATATTTACGTATTATTATTTTTAAATATTAAAAAAAGAGATATTTACTTACTCTTTAAGAAAAACGTTGATTGTAAAGATTTTAAACCTTTAAAAATCTCAAAAAACAGCATAGCACAAATCACATATGCTAACTACAGCTTTCTGTACAATTTACAGTGCCTCTCAAACCCAAGAAAGTTTAAATTAAAATTAAACAAAAAATATATCACATAAAATTAATAATTAGGTATATTGTTGCTTACAAAGATTTTAAACCTTTTAAAATCTCAAAAAATGGCACAGCACAAATCACATATGCTAACTAGAGCTTTCTGTACAATTTACAGTGTTTCTCAAACCCAAGAAAGTTTAAATTAAAATTAAACAAAAAATATATCACATAAAATTAATAATTAGGTATATTGTTGCTTACACTTATCTGTTTTTTTTTTTTCAATGTCCCTTTAGCCCTTTTAAATATCTATAAACTCAATATTCTCTACATAAAAATTTCTAGTATGAATTTTTCATTTACAGAATTACCAGTAAGTTTACCGAATGTTTTTTTGTCAATTTACTGGTAAATCGGTAAACCAATATACAATCCCTAGTATGGACATTGGTGGTTATTATTTCAACAATGGTTATTATTACTATTTTATTATTGACAGATTATGGCTAAACTGTTGAAATATAATGTGTGGTTATCAGTAGCAAATATCCATAAATATATTGTTTGTTGTATTAGTATACGGATATTTCATCATCTGAAATAGTAATATTCATGTTCAATTTTTCTTATATACTTTGCAAATGTGAATGATTGATTCTTAAAATATAAAATATTACTAAATATCACTACTGGAAAAATAAATACTGTCTTAAATAGTTATAGCATTACAATCATCTTATCTTATTTACAAAGGCCAAAACATTTCTTACTTCTCAAAATAACATTTCTAAAATCAAGTAAAAAATATGTAACTGATAGTCTTAAGACATGCAGTTATTTAATAATAAACTTAAGAAACTCTTATTTTACTTATGATTCTTAGTTTATTCAATGATAAACTAAGAATCATATGATTCTCCATTAATAAAAACTATTTCTAAATAGTTTTTATTAATGGAGGATATATAAATAAAACCAAGTTAGAGATGGATTAAATAAAATATATTATATCTGATTAGTATATTACATTTATAGATAAAGTAATTACTCACTCCCATCTTAGCTACAGTAAGATGCCAATTTACTGACAAGTGAGTACTCAATATTCAAGAATTTGATACAATGAGCTGCTTATTTATGAGAAAATATTTGGTACAAAAAGCACTGATCAATACTAATGAGAACAAAATACTCTAATCACAAGTGCAGAGAGATTGATATTCTCACAAGTTCCAATTAGATGGCTCAAAGGCTCCAATCTCAGTTTACTTTTGCTATTTGTCATTAGGGATAGTCAAACAACCTACCAGATTATTGGGATATATTAAAGTTAATTTTAATAATTATAAAGGAATTTGACTAGAGGTAGGCTGTTAGGCTGCCAATCTCTTGATAAATTTAATAATTATAAATAAATTAATTTCAATTTAGAAAGTTCTAGAAAAAAGAATTGGCCTGGAGTGGGACTTGAACCTGCAACTCTTCTTACTATGCAGATGGATTGCCAATTACACTGCCTGGACTCCTGTCCAATTTTCACCTGCAGAACTATGAATGATCAAGATATTAATCATAGTGATATTACAGTGCCAATTGGGATAAGTTTACTGTCCATGGCAGGAGTTGCATGTTAAAGTCTCACTTTGGGCTGATTCTTTTCTTCCAGAACTTTCTAAATTAAAATTAACTTATAATGATTAAATTTATCAAGAGATGGCAACCTAGCCACCTACCCCTAGTCAAATTACTTTATAATTAATTATTAAAATTATCTTTAATATAGCTGCTTTGCTTTGACAGCAACACAACAAAAAAGAAAAACTGATTTTGCTTTTTTGTATAAATAAACTTTTTAGGTATAGTACTTTTATCATGTAAAATAGTATATTTCTATATTCATTGGATTTCCATCAGAGATCATGTGTGTGTCATCAACTTGTATTCAACTGTTAGTTAGAATTTTTAAATGCTTCTTTTGTAAAATTAACATGTTTTTAATTATACCACTATCAAAGCAAAGAAACAATATAGCCCAATAATCTAGTAGTTTGTTTGGCTTTAATTTAAAAGTTGAGTTATGAATTGAATGTGTATATTAAGAGATAGTTCCATTTATTCTAACATGATTGTGCAGTGAACATTAAATTAAAAACCCTTCTATCACTAATTACAGTTTTGTTTTATTCTGTTTTACTTGTTTTCTAATTACTTGTTGTCTTAATTATAGTATTTCTCAGAATAAGAATAAAACTGATGTGCTAGATCGTAAAGTGCTCTATCACACTGCCACTGTAGGTAAAAAGCAAAACTACTGTAAAACTTTGAATTTGCAAAAACAACTTTAAACATTTAAACTTCATTTCATACAACATTGTGATATTTTTTGGTCTTTATCTCAAATTTTTTGCAAAAATCTCAGAAATGGATTATAACAACTTAAACCATGATTCCCAAAGTGGTCAATATCGACTCCTGGGGTCAATAAGGCATTTTATTATGTTGAAAATTAGTTGGGGAGTTAATTGAAAATGATTCATTAAAAATTTTATCCAATGGGTTATGTATATGACAGTTTACAATGATGTAAATTTGCACACTTTAAATAGATCTTTTCTATAAAAATGATGTATGAATTATTACTGTACTGGCTCTCCTAGAATTATTTACTTTTACTACTACTACTACTAACTGTATTAGCAAAAAAGAAGAGGGCATCAATTAAAGATTGAGGAATCCTTGAAGAGGTTGACTGTCAATCTCTGGTTTAAACATATATTTTGTCTTATATTTGTATTTTTATTGGAGTTTTGTTCTTTTGGAGGGGGCCTTACATGCTTTGGAGCATTGCCTGATTCTGTGTAAATAAATAAATATTATGTTCTACTTCATAATGAACACAGAATCATTTTTCTTCACAAATATACGGTAATAAATATCAGCTCCATTTTTATTCTGGGAAAGACTAAATAACTTTTGTTTTCTTGCTATTAAATAATTGTTTGGTAACTTATACAGTGGTGTCTTGACTTAAGAGTTTAATTCGTTCTGTGACGGAATGCATAATTCAAATTACTTATATGTCAAATCAATTTTCCCCATTGAAATGAATTGAAATGCCATTAATCTGTTCCAGACACCCAAAACACCGTAATTTTTTTGTTACATGTTTTTAAATAAGAAAAATGTACTTATAAATAACAAATGTTGTATAAAAACACAATATAGAATGTACTGCAATAAATCAATTTTGCAGATGTTGCAGTGTTTGCTGCATAGATAAAGAAAGAAAAGATGGAAAGTTTGAGAAATGAGATATGGTGTGAACTAATGCCTATGTCACTTGATCATGTGTTTTTCTATAACACATGATCAAGTGACGTAGGCATTAGACATTGAAAGAGTAATGAAAATGATAAAATTACTGCAGTTTTCCATCTTCTTTTTTTTTAATCTATGGTTCGCTGCATCAACTAGAGGTAGGGTATCTGAAGCTGGCTCATAACCCAAATTTTAGTTCTCAACTCAAAGCAAAAAATTGACCGAGAGACAGCTTGTATCTTGAAAAACTCTTGGGACACTCATAGGTCAAGGTACCACTATATATTTGCTTGTATCATATTTTCTTTTCCCATTTTGTGTCTATTTCTTTTATAACAATGAATAGTCTAATCAACAATTTAATTTCATTATATTTAGACTCATTGGTTGATAGGTGAATAGTCATTTTGCAATAATTTAATGTTATTTGGGAAACTTGGACAAGGATGACTAGGTATGAGTATAACTTATATATAACAGGGTAACCTCAACTTATGAGTGTTATGAATGTACTCATAAGTTGAGGTTATGCTACGTGACGTTGAGACAGAAAACATTATTTCCCAGTTTATTTATTTTGTTTTAATTTTTATAGTAAATTTGCCTTTTTCAAGAATATTATCATCTATGCAAAAATGAATAGTGAAACTAAATACTAAATGGTGTTTAACTGACTTGTTTGTTAAATGTTTTATCCATAATATGAAATTATTTATAAAGAGCAGAAAAAGCAGATGAAATTCTTGATCTCTGAATTTTTTTTCACCAGCCATCACATAACTGATGTATGTATTGATACATCAGTGAAAATACAATACAATCGTGAAAATTTCATTGGAATTAAAATCTCTACTAAGAAAAAGAAACTACTCTTTCTCAATAACTATTTAATATGTTCTCTTTAGAAATGTTCATAATTTTTTTAACTTAAAATTAAAATATGTTATTTATTCTTGTTCAACCAGTTTCAGCTGATATTTGAATGAAGATTCTCTCCAAGACTTTCCATTCCATTTTTTTAATTTACTACTGTTATCCATTTCATTCCACTGTCCTAATGGTTTTCTCATTCCATCTTTCAGTTTTTCTTTTCTTTTTATCATCATACTGTTACCATTCCATCACCAAGTTTTTCCTTTTGCATTATTTCTGTATTGAATGATTTTTATATCTAGTATTTTGACAGATTTAAAACCATGTAAATTCTGTGAAAAAATACTATTTTTTTCATTATGTTGAAATTCATTTCTATAAATATGCTTTTAATGTAAAGATTTGATATGATAAGTACAAAAGATTTATTATTAATAAATAAATGATACTATATATTAAGTATTGAGATTAGAAGATTATAAAATAACAATAAATTGTTTTAATTCAATTTAATAATTAAACTTTATTTTAAAATAACAGGATGAATGTTTGATAATTAATTTCTGTCTGTATTCCTTTGCAAATACAATTGTGAGATGCGAACCATACCTGTGATTAATTTAAAAATTTAATCGAAAAAGTTCAAATTTTAAACGAAAATATTTGTTGATTTTGATGGGAAAATTATATTTTCTAAATTGAAGGAAACTGGAAAAGTCACTTCCTTCAACGGAAGTTGAAACATCCTTTTGTTTTCCCTTATCTCTTAAAAATCTTAGTCACCCTGGGAGCTGTCAACCCCTCAGTAAAACCCCTTTTTCCTGTTCATGTGGAAAAATACAAAGTGATGATTGGTGAAAATTCGTGAGAAGGAGAAAGAATCTAGCATCATTTGGAGAGTACACCGGAAGATCCAGAAGAGGACCGACGTCAGCTCCCTCCGGTCAACGCCAAAATCAAATCCAGAAGTTTTTATAAAATGAGTTAAATCAGTAAAACTGGAGAAGAAATTGTTTAAATATGTGCCATTCAAGAACTAAAGAAGGAAGTACAGTCATATAAATATGAAATACATAAGAAGATAAAGATGTTAGAGGTAGTATGAATTTGATAAAATTTGTGAGCTCTCTCTCTCAAAATAGCTTTATTTGAATAATCAAAGTTGTATGAATTTGTTTATTTTGTTTCGTTAAGTATTTGGTTTTTATTTGTTAAAAGGAATGTCTCTTAAATATCTGAATCAAAATGGAAGGTTCGTCTCCATAACATATCCATATGCGTGTTAATCCGCGTATCATAAAATTGATTAACTGGTGTCATTGCCCTGACGTTGGATAGAGACTTTGCCGTCTATATCCTATCCAATTTTAACAGCCCTCCTAGAAAAAGTTTAGAGATCGAATCTCGTGATTCTGAGTTGTGTAAGTGGTACTCTTGGTTAGTATCCTCGGCTAATTTCACACAATTATCATAAAAATTTTATGATAATTTTATAAAAATTTTATTACTAAAATGAGGTCAATATATGCACAATTGTCTATATTTGTCTTGAGGTAATTATTCTTAACTTAATATTGTACAAATAGATTTAAACTATTTATTTAATTTGTCTTTAAAATTAATTTGTCACAAAATCATTTTAATATATTAATGTTTTTATTTTTTGAATGTGAATACAGCATAGATTTCGATGATATTTTATGTCTGTATACAGCTCTGTAGCTTTCCTCATGATAAAAGAATTGAAAGATTTTATTAAATTTTTCTTTTTAATTAGTTATGAAATTCAAATTATAGATATAAGATTCATGAAAATTTTTCTAATTTAACAATAGACAAAGTTATATTTTATTAATTTTCTTTTAAAGAAGTTATAAGTATTTCAGAGTACTTATTGTCATTTATCTTTTTACTACTGAAATATTTTTCTTGTAGATATTTTTAATTAAATCAAGACATTACATTCAAACTTTATTATTTGAATTCTTCAGTTTCACAAATTACTACTGAGTTTTTTTTTTTTTTTTTTGTTAGTAAAAGCATTCTGATTAAAAAAGAAACATATACTTTTTCTGAAAAAGAAGCAAGTTTAAAAGATAAAAATGTATTTTGTGAAATGTAATTAAAGATTTTTTGTAGAAAGAAGTTTAATGTATAAAATTTTTCTTACTGTAGAAATATATAATACAGATAAGCAGAAAAAAGAACATGATACGGACAAGTTTCATTATTTGAAATTAAAAAATGCATGACTTTTCAAATAGCTATTGTTTTCTAATTTAAAATTGTAACAGATGGAGTTTGATTTTAATGTGTAATAATTAGTTTTTGGAACAAAATTTGTTAGAAAGGATTAAAATATGATTATTTGTTTTATCATTATATCATATTTAAACTTGATAGTCATTTTTCATGAGAAATTTTTAATTTGAAATCATAATTTAAAACATATATAATCAGTTTCTTGGTTTCTTGCTAAAATTGAAGACATTTGATTCTGAAAACTTTGCTTCTTGTCTTCACTTAACCTATATATCTATGGTGTTGCTGCATACCCATTCCCTGTATAGGGGACATTAGATTGGAAAAGATGTTTTGCAGATGGATACCTGCCTGCTGTCAGTCCTCTTTTTCGATCTAGACTTGGGATGTCCAAAGTTAGTAAGCTCTGAGTGGGATAAATGATTGTGTTCTTTGTCGTTGCCAATAAAAGTACTCTCTGGTTTCTATACTGTTTAATTATTGTGATATAACAAGAATTGTTTTGTTTGGTGAAAACTTAAGGAAAGTAACAATCATTACTTTCCTTAAGTTAGTTTTACCTACAAAATTTGATACTTCAAATAAAAATGAAGTAAATATTATAGTAAACTTTCTATTCTGTTGATCACTTTATATCAAGCAAATTAATCAAATGGCATATTTTGTTTATGGAATATACTAAAGAATTTTTCTTGTTTCTTTTCATTTTTATTTGAATTAAAATGATTTCTTCTCAAGTTTAAAAAATAAAAAAAATAAATCTGCTTTTAACTGCTCATTTTATGACTCCTTGCTTTTATGACCGGAATAAATTTTTACTATGATTTATGAAACACTGTATTTAAGTGCTATTTACCTGGTGTTAAAGAGTTCAAACTGTTTCTTGGAATAGAATTTGGGCATATGATACCAACTTTATAGGAACTTGGAATTAAATTTACAACATTTCTCTTAATAATTTTTTCAAGGAATCAGTTGTGTTTGAAAAGTTAGTCTAATTTATTTATGTGAAAACATATTAAAAGCAAATTAAATAAAGAAATAATAATTAGTAATTTAATTAATATATATAATTAAACTTTATTAAAAAATTTGGCCAAATTTAGAATTTTTTTCTTGCTTTTTTAAAAACATTTTTATATGTATCAGTCTTATCAAATTTTATTTTCATTACATAAAATTAAAATAATCCATAACTTTTTCAGTTTGCTTATTGAAAGACTTATGTTTAATTAAAAAAAAAAGCAAATAATTAAATTAAATTATAAATCCAAATTTAAGAAAAGTTGAATTTTTATTGTTTAGATTTTTTTATAAGCAATAACATTAAGTAGATCAGGAGACTCCAACCTTTTTGTGAGAAGGATCATGTGAACTATAAAAAAACAAGTCTGAGAGCCAGATATGAAAAAATTATTTATTTATTTATTTTTGAACAACGATGGACATAAATTAATGTGAAATTTGCAGCTTCTTTTTTAAAAGAATATCTTCAAAATTGGGAATACATTTTATGGCTCAGAATAGTAAAATCTTTAGATATTTGTTTGATGATGATGATCAATATTTTAATTTTATGTATTTTATTTTTGAAAAGATTTGTTCACAAAGATAAATAAAAGCAATAAATAGAAAATAACCCTGTGCACAGAGTTCATAGGAATTTTTTTTAAAACTCTTTTGGAAGAGATCTGTAAGAATTTAACAAACTCTCCTCTTTAATTGGGTTTTTATAAAGATTATTTGAAGCAAGATCTATTAAATTTAATTGGCTTTTCAAAAGTTTGTGTGCTTTGAACTAGTTTAGATGTTTATGATAAAACACATAGGTGAAAATCAAGTTATGTGGACCAGATAAATGTTTTGGGGCCATATTTGGCCCGCAGGCTACAAATTGGAGACTCCTGATGTAGAGTAATGTATAAAAAAAAATTTAATTATAAAACTAAACTAAACTTTTTTTTGTTTTTTATTTATTTATTTTTAATTAAAAATAATAATGAATTTTATTATTTAGATTCCTAATCCCAATTGTGCTACTGAATATAAGAAGGGCTATGTAATGAGAAAATGTTGTATTGATCCTAATGGCAAAAGAAGTACGTATTGAATTAAATTTTATAGAATGTGTGTAACTTTCCAACACTATTATCTAATTTATTTGTTAATTTTTGATGAAAGTAAACAAAATCTACAAAACCCGCCTAAATTACAAAATTTTACTTGTCTATAAAAGTGAATGATAAATGTCTTTTTTTTTATGAAATTGGTTTGGGAAGATTTAGAATAATGTGACCAATTTTTAAAAGTAGTCAAAGCCATTTATTGTGAACATATTCATTTTTAACATTATCACCATGTACAGTGACACATTTTGTAAATAATTGATTCATTTTTGCATTCCATTGAAAGAAGTCAATGGATCAAGAAAGAACCAAAAGTTGTTTTATGCATTGCATGCATAAAAAAATCTTTTGGTTCTTTCTTACTCAATTTTCATACAGTAGCCAGCTAGAACATTGGCATCCGATGAAATGTAGGGACTGTTCGACATTTTTAATTTTGAGAATGGCCAGAAGTCTGGTACCTGACCTGGACCATGGGGAAGATGCAGAATAAGTAACTTTAGGTTCTTAAACAACATTGCTGTTTCCTTGCTGCAGTATGACCATATATTATCATGATGCAAGAAAAAGATGATTTGTTCTGGCCTTACTTTAAATGTGTTTTGAGTGTTTGTAATACTTCACTGAATTGATTGTTTTTCTCTTTGCATACAATCTCCCAATGCTAAAATTTCAATCACTAATTGTTGTATTGTTCAGGATGAGGAAAAAGATTTTATTTTTAAACTTGACTATTGCAGCACAGCATAATTAAAACTTTGTACATATAGACTAGATATTCATGGCTAATAATTGGTGGTGGTTATGTTTCTATTCCTGCATTTTATAGTAGAACTGAATTATTAGTCCATTTTTATAGTTGTTTATATTCCAAAAAAAATTAGTTTTTTTAAAAAAGTTTAAATAATTTTGATTTATCAAAAAATTACATATAAAACCAAACCCTCTTCTTTAATTATCAAACATCATTATTTTTTGTTTTATTGGTGATCCTAGTAATAATTACGTTAATTCCAAAGTATTTTCATCTCCCTTGAAAGGTTTGAAAATGCTTGGAGATTGATGTAAATATTGCTAGGATTTCCAATGAAGCAAGTTATAGTGAAATATATATAATTATTAATAGTATTTAGAAACTTAACAATAGTATTTAGTATTTTGTTTTCAGCATTTTATGAAAGTTTGACTAATAAATTGTTAAATAATAAACATTTACATCTAATTTTTTCTTTATTGAACAAAAACAATTTCAAATATCCTAAATGTAGTTTTAGTTTTAACTCAATGGCCATTAGTTTTGTTGCCAGTTGCAATATCTTTGATGAGAATAATCAGTTTCTTTTGTACTTTGACACAATGAATTAATTGATAGTTTTGACTTTGAATTTTATACTATTAACAATTTTTTAAGTGAAAGAGTCATTAATATGTTGTTTATTTTTGCCATCCTTTTAAATGTGCACTCAAGCAACATATCAATATTAAATTGTTCTTTCAAAATTGTGTCCTGAAGTAAAGAAATTTTAGTTTTAGTGGTCAGACTTATCGATACAATTTAGTAATATATAAAATTTTGTGTATTTTTGCATTTATTTTTTAAATATAAAATTTATACTTACTGTGTACAACAAGAAAAAAGGGAAAAAAATTAAATTGTAAATCAAAAGTTTTAAATGAAAAAAAAAACTAAGCTTGTAGTTTTTGAAAATATTAGTTATTTATAGTTATTGAATGTATCATCGTCAATTGGCTTTATATGCTTTGCAGGCTTATTGCCACCTTCCCCCATCTCTCTTCAAAATGTAAAATACTATTACTACAGTTTTGAGTTAAATTAATGTAATTGTTCTTGCCCTTGCCAGTTTTTTTTTTAATTTCATCTTTTCATCATTGAGGAAATCTTCCTACTTGGTATTTCTGTAAGTTTTGGTTAATGTGTGTCTACCAGTGTAAGCTATATGTTCATCTGAATTTTCCATCTAAACCATCTGAATTTTCTTAATTGTTTGAATTACTACATCAAAAATTGCACTTTTAATAATACAAATAATTTCATATCTTTGTATTTACAGAAGAAATTTGGCATGTACATTTGAATTTGTAATGTTCTAATGCATTAATTTTTGAATAAAATTAATAAGCACTACACTGATGGCTTTGTTCTACATTTAGAATGTATTTTTCTTCCTTGAAGGTGGTTATTAAAAACAACCTGAAAACAACCAAATTTCCAATCTTTCCAAATATGTCAAATACTTTGATTGTTTACTTTTATATAAATATTTCCATGGTTTCATTCATTCTAACTGCATGTACCCTTAGAGAGTTCCACTACTCATAATCAAACTTGTTTTTTTACCCTATCCTTTAGGCTAGTCATTTATTTGAGGTCCTTTTTCTGTTGGTCTATTCAGAATGTGGGCTTAGTGGAACAATCTTTACATGAAGATTTTTTACATTTTAAACACATTAGTAAATCGTTATTTTATAATTTGTAATTTTTATTACAAATTATAAAGTAATCATTTACAAACAAAAGCAATTTCAGTTAGTTATATTAAAATGTTATATTTAAGTATATATGTTACCGCTAAAGCTCGAAATCCGTTAATGTGCGCATTACCTAGCTAATCTGCAGATTAACTAGGGTGATCTGTTAAAGCTGCGAAAATTATTCCATTTCTCAAATTACCTAGGTAATGTTCAGATTATCTAGGTAATCTGCAAATTACCTACTAGGCACTCGGTAAAGTGAAAATAAGATTTTTGCTGGAACAACAGCAACGTTTCTGTACGCTTAAATTAACATAATGTTATTTATTTAATTTTCAATATCTAAAGAATCAAGTTAATACAATCAACAAATTAGTTGATTGAATCAATCATCAATCAATTAAAAAAACTTTAATACAAAAATCAAACGGTTTAAAATATTACTACAATTAG